GATGTTTTGGAGATGAAAAAGCTATCGGCACGATGGGTGCCGCGTTTGCTGACCATCGACCAAAAACAGCAGCGCGTTGTTGATTTAACGGCCAGTTTGGCATTGTTGCAGCGTAATCGAGCGGACTTTTTTCGACGTTTTGTGACGATGGATGAAACGTGGATCCATTACCATACGCCTGAGTCCAATAGGCAGTTTGCAGAGTGGCTGAAAAGCCACGAAAGCCGACCAAAGCGGCCAAAAGACCAACGCTCGGCCGGGAAGGTTATGGCCTCCGTTTTTTGGGATGCGCATGGCATAATCTTCATCGATTACCTGCAGAAGGGAAGAACAATTACGGGAGAGTATTATGCAGCGTTATTGGACAAACTGAACGACGAAATAAAGAAAAAACGGCCCCATATGGCGAAGAAAAAAGTTCTGTATCATCACGATAACGCACGTCACACACGTCCTTGAAAGCGATGGTCAAATTGAACCAATTACGATTCGAATTGGTTGCTCATCCACCATATTCTCCAGATTTGGTCCCCAGCGACTATTATCTGTTCCCAAACCTCAAGCGGTGGCTCCAGAGGAAGAGATTCACATCGAATGAGGAAGTCATCGCAGAAACCGAAGCGTATTTCGAAGGCTTGGACATTTCGTACTACAGAAAAGGCATCAAAATGTTGGAAAATCGCTATACCAAGTGTATCGCCCTCGAAGGCAACTATGTTGAGGAATAAATATATAATAACTTTGCCCAAAAAGCGCTTGTTTTCATTAAAAATCCCGACTTTTCAATCCATGTAGTATATATAACAGATATATTAAATAGAGTGTCCAAAAAGACTCCGGATTTAAGAGCTGAACATAAAGGTGATTATAACTAATCGTAAAGGAATATGAATTGTACTTGTATCGGCATACATAGTATGCCAAAATATAATGTGTTGACCTATGACTATGATTCACGTTCTACGATTCAATTACGGCCACCCTTGTGCTATAAAGCCATTACATAACGTTTTTAGAAAAAACGCTTCAGACAAAAGTTGTAAGGTTTCAAAGAAGCTGTTTACTGATATTCAGTTTTTTTTCCTTCATTAGTTTGTTTGTTTCGATCATGTCAAACAATCAGCTTTTGATTCTATCATGACAATGCATCTATTCACATTTCTTTAATTGCAGACACAAAATTCTACAAATTGATTCCGTACTTGTATTTCATCAAATTTGAATCGAAATGCCTCTGCCAGTAAATTAAAAATAGCCCACGATGAACGCCTCTGACATTTGTCTATAACTAGTCAAAACACGATTTACGGCTATAACATTTTGTTATAACTAGCCAGCTCACAATTAACGCCTCTGGCAGTAAATTAAAAATAGTCAGCCCACGATAAATGCCTCTGATATTGGATCATAATTAGGCAAAACGCAATTTATTGTTATAACATTTAACCATATCACTTGTATGATAAATAAAAGTGATATTTTCAAGAATGACATAAAGATGCTAATCTTTCCATTCTGGCTTTATAGGATACTTTCCAACAAGAAATACATATCACAATAACCAATTTTGGCCTTATAGAGTGCCTTCCAACAAGAGACAGTGTGACACAATGCATCATTATAATCTTGTTCGCCAATACAAGGATGAGATAATTACTATATTGTACTGAGTGAGTCACTTGTAGAAAGCACCCATAACCTTCTCTTACCAAAGGCAGACAATTTTCTGCTATTATATTTTTTCTATTTTGTGGACACAAAACACTGTAATATATATGTACACACACATGCACGCGCGCGCGCGCGCACACATACACACATACACACACACACACACCACACATGGTTGTGTGTAGAATACTACTACACTATACTGAATTGATAGTACTGTTGCGCGGCAACGATACTGTGAACGCGGGTCATACTGGTTACAGCTGATTGACTCGTATAACGCCGTTGTTTTCTACACATACAGCGTCACGCAAAATGATATATGTATGCATATATATATATACACATATACATACAAAAAAATTTTAACTTTTCACTTTGAGAAAAAAGATACATAATCGATATTATGGTTACATTATCTTCTCCTTAGCGACTAATTAAAAAAAGACGTTCACCGTGTTGTAAAATCTCTATAAGCCACGTAATTGTAAAAACTCTCTATCTTATCTTTGAAGTTCTATTATTGATACGTCATTTAAGTGCATTCTCCAGATTTATTCCACAAAAAAAATACTAATAGATGACCAGATATATGATGCGGTAAAGTAAAATTCTATATTACATTCTGTAGCACAAAAACGTGATCAGTAACTCTTTGAAACTAAATGTATCATAAAAATAATAAAAAGTAATATTTTGGAAGTACATTAAATTCAGTAAAATGCATTTAATTATTAATATGATGTTCAATCAATTATTAAGAAAATACAATATTATGTAGGAAGGAAAATATTTTCATGACAATTTGCTGGAAGAATATGGTCGCAGCATGTTTCTTATACTGTGACGCTCTTGAGACATCCGCGCGTGAGCGGTTCGGCCGTCAAGAGTCGAGCGGTTGTGAAGGAAAAGTAGGCAGCATTTCAGAAATCGGC